ACGTCTTGCAACAGCCGTAACAACACCATCTGGTAACGAGGTGTAGTACGCAACGCTTCATTACACCGGATGTGATTAGAGAAAACTTCACTAGTCTGTCAGGTAGATGTATTACAGGTAGAGGCCAAATGGGGTCATTCTACAGGTACTAATTACAAGTACCAATTAAGTATCACGTAGATATTAATTAAAGGTACTAATTACAGGTGAAATAATTCCTGTGTCCACCCTAATGCTACCTGGTGAGTTAGGGAGGTTAATCTCCAGGTGAAATAAGCTGGGAGGGCTAATCTTCGGGTGAGAATCAAAACAAACACACAAGCCAAGTACCAAGCTTAGTCTTGTTCGTGTCCTCTTACTGGGATGACCTGACCTGACCCTGTGTGAGAGGATGTGACCTGACCTGACCCTGTGTGAGAGGATGTGACCTGGGGTTAAACTGGGATTCCTCCTTCAAATTGTGATCACTGTCTTACTGAATTACGTGAATGAGATGAAAATTATTGACCTCTAGTTTACGGAGGGGGAGCAGTCATAAGTCTCACGGCCACAGTTTTAATTAACCTCTTCCTTAGCGGGGGTCGTACTGCAGCGCCCGACGGAGAGGAGCGGCGGAAAAACGAACTAATGTTGGAATTTGAATACATGGCAAAAAGTTCCTGTTCGTTATTGTTTTGTTGTGTCTATAATAAATACGATTAATAAACAGACAAATATATAGTAATTTTATAAACCCGTTTTGTTATCATTAACCCTTTAGAGGGGAGGTGTTTCTTGTACCTGGAGATGATCATCGTGGTGCGGCGTTAGCCAGAGTAAAATCCCAGGTGTACTTTGCCCTCTAAAGGGTTAATGTTTTCTGCGTCTTGTTGGGATCGTCATGCCAACCACACGAGTGAGACGACCCATAATGCATCAGCGGAGGTAAACAGGCTTACCAACCTTACCCTCGACGGTCCTACACCACGGGGGGGGGGGTGGGGGGGGTGGGGTTAGGGGTGATTAAAACTCCCCCCCCCTAGAAGGAACGACTCCTACCTACGGGGGAAGGGGGAGAAGTGTTTTAAAACTACCAGTCATAATACCCTGACTGACCTGACATATCATTAGGGACACTTTGACCAACTAATGTGCCTACCTAACATAATTACACAAGATTGACCTAATTTTTTGTCACCTTTCCTCTCCTCCTCCCCCCCCCACTCCCCCCTTTTTGACTAACGTACATCCTGACCTTGGTAGGACGAGTCTAAAAAGGTCAGTGGTGTGAAGACCGAGGTCAGTGCAGTACCGGGTCCTCGAAGGGTCAGACACGTTGTTGAAGCACCACCACCACCATGGAGGCTCCGTCACTTCCTACTCTACCAATATATATCAAAGGTTTGTTTGTTTGTTGAGACTAAACCTTCTGTGTTGTTTTTCTAAGTTGAGGATACGAACATTGTGGATATTTGTTGTTTTTGTATTATTTAAAGGTTTGTGTTGTTCAGTTGTGGATATTTGTTGTTTTTGTATTATTTAAAGGTTTTGTGTTGTTCAGTTGTGGATATTTCTAATTTATATTTCTTCGTTTTGTGTTAGTTGTGGATGTTGATGTGTGGGTAGTTATCCTCCTTGTCTTACCAATTCCTTTTAAAATGTTCTTTACACTGTTAATCCACACAAAGTATCGTGGAAGCCGACTTAACATACCTTACCTTAGCATACCCTAGGAGAGAGGTGATTGAGGGGGGGGGGGGGTTCATCAGGCTGACCTCTGACCTTTACGGGGGACTAAAGGGGACAGGAGTCAAACACGTTAAAATATATGAATGGAGGCAGCGGTATAGAATGAAGGCCTTGCGTCGACAGCTCTATACACCACTGACCCACTCACACGGAGACTGATATAAGTTATACCCTGCTATAATTAACAAGGTCAGGTTTATATAATTTGCTTTAGCCAAAGTCCTATAATTGTGCCAGCTGCTCTGTACATTGTTTGTTATACAGGTAAGTTTTTGCTTTAATAATGAACCGTCAAAAGTAATTAAATACCTGGCTACTGTTAATTATAATTGCATCACCGGTAGTTAAGAAAAAGTACTTTGCTGTTAATGACAGGTGTGTGTGTTGTGTATGGGGGACCTAACGTTGCAGTTTAGGTTAGGTCAGGTCGAGTGCAGTGCCGGTCACATTATGTACTGAAGGCTTAATATACATTTGTCCCTTATGTGTTTAGTAGGACTTTCTTCCACATATAGGCACACGTAACAACCCAACCTAGTGTCGTTAACTGTTTGTCTGTCTAGGCTAATGGTTAAAAAGACGAGTAGTTAACCGCGGTTCACCTGAAGGTTAACCACCCTAATACTACCTGAGGGATTAGGTTAGGTTGGGTTAATCTCAGGTTAGGGTGATTAATCTTAAACAAGCTGGGGGGGGGAGGGGGTGATCCCAGGCCACTGTATTGAAGTCAGGTGGTTGGTGTAAGCGTCTGGTAGTATATGGTAACTATACAGGTGTTGTGGTAACTACACAGGTGTTGTGGTAACTATACAGGTGTTGTGGTAACTATACAGGTGTTGTGGTAACAGGTGTTGTAACTATAAAGGTGTTATGAGTATTAATTAATTTGTATAATCAATAGACAAAAGTGCTTTTTCGGGTTAAATTCAATAAAATCACGACGGTTAGGAAAGGTAGCCACCTGAAGATTAACCCCCAGCTTATTTTACATAAATAGCCCCCAGCTTATTTTACATTATTAGCCCCAAACTTATTTTACATTAATAGCCCCCAGCTTATTTTATTAATAGCCCCCAGCTTATTTAAATTACATCCCCCAGCTTATTTTACATTAATAGCCCCAGCTTATTTTACATTAATAGCCCCAGTTTATTTTACATTATTAGCCCCCAGCTTATTTTACATTATTAGCCCCAGCTTATTTTACATTATTAGCCCCCCAGCTTATTTCACATTATTAGCCCCCAGCTTATTTCACATTAAGATTAAACCCCCTCCCCAAACGCTAACATAACATGCCCGAAGTTATTATTATTTTTGCCGTTACTCTAATTATTATTTGTCGTTAGTGTAATTATTTTTGTCGATGCCGTTATTGCAATTATCTTGGTTGCTGTTTCTGTAATTAATGTTGATCCCGTTGTAATAATGTTAAGCCGGGAGTTGTGTTGATAATTTTGTTGCCGAGATGAAAAAAAAATATCCTTTACGCGTTCATGATTACCACCAACCTGTATTTATGTTAAGTCGGAATAACTCGTTTAATCGGAAGAATCACCACCCCCAGCTTATTTCACCTGAAGATAAACCACCCTAACACAAGTATATGTAGGGATTAGGTTAGGGTGGGGTTTAATCTTTGGTTGAGGTTTGTCTACATGTGATAAAACTTAAACCTTTCCATATTGCATTAGGTATTTTGGTTTAATTTTAATCGACCACTTAATTTCCTTGACGGTATCAATTTCTATCACATTTATCCGTGCGTCACTAATCCGATTTTCCCTGGGTCATCTCGGTCATTAACCCATTACCCCTCTCTTACACGAGTGAGGTACAGGTAACTGATGCGGAAGATAACAGTTCACATGATAGAGTACTTTAAAAGCTCATTAGCCATATGCTCTAAGTTACGTGTCTTAATTATGTATAGTAATGTCTGAATTTTCTCGCCTTCATAGCTAGTTGGGATACTGTACCCACTGTTAAAGTTCAAAATTATTGTTTTCATTTCCGCTGTTGAGTGCTGTACGAAGCTGCTGTGTTGATGAATAAAGTATGATGTATTTTTGTTAAGCTTATCTGATAGTATTAAAACCTGAAGCTGTCATTATGTTCCGTTCGGTAATATGGTAAATTATTTTAGAGTTTTAAGTAATCATCGATGTCGTGAAAGCTCGGTGCAACGCCCTGCGCGCCACGAGCAATTTTCCCGCGTACTGGAAGTTCGCGCCAAAACTGTTAGTATGAACTGGTAGCCTTAATCCCTTACTGGTGAGGGTTTCAAACTCCAGTTTTAGTTTTTTATTGTAAACTATTACAAGGCAGTTCATTAACGCTCTTTAGCAAGATGGTGTAAAGTTGCGCAAAAAACTGCTAAGGATATTGATCTAGACGGAAGACGCGGTTGGATGCCATGGTTCAAAGCGCGCGGAATCCGCCTACACATACACCGCACTGCCGTCAGTTCTCATGAAACCATCCACCGGAACATTCCTCGGCCATCTGCCCCGCCTGCGTTGCTCGCTAGCAGAAGGATACAGCGGAGAGTCCTTGAGGATCTCCGCGGTCAGTGAGGAGTCAACGCCCGCACACACTGATCGTAGTCAGCACTTTTGGCGGGAACTTGTGTTTGGCGCGCCACGTGACCCCCCCGCGTAGTAACTGGGGGGACGTGTGGAGTTGCCAGACACACAAATCAAACGCGGAATCTGATTGGTCCACTATATAACTTCACGCACTCATTGGCTGGAGTGACTACGGACAATTTCAGAGCTGCCAACCTCCTTTAACCCCGCGCCTAATGTTTTGTGCGTTTTCTATGTTAACTAATTTATCTAATGTTGTTTTGTCATATGGCAAGAGTAAATTATTAAAAGAGAAACATTTTTTGATGGTGAATGTTTGTTACGAATAATATACGTTTAATATATCATCAAAACACTAGTGTTGTTGGCATTGCGCGCCTGAATGTATTGAATTCTTGTGAGTGACGTCAGGCCAACCGTGGGATACACTCACGGATCCAGACGTAAATATTACGCTCACGAAGAGGAAGAAAGTAGTCCCATGTCTGGCGCACCGTATCCCATAGAAATAATGGTAAACTCGTAACTGTATTTAATAATTCAACACATTAACATCTGCTTTTGAATTTTGTAAGAGCATTTTACTTGTAATTAAAAATATTGGACGCTCGACTACACTCTAGGGTGGTAGTGGCGGAGGAATACCGTGTTTTAAGAGCCAAGTAGACATGACCGCGCTACCAACATATATATTCATCAGTTACACTCTTGCGCTCGTGGTGAGTGGACCTGATGTGAACTTGTGCTCGGATCTCCACCAGACTGGATTTTGCTCTCGTGCTAACTGTAACAAACCCCAACAGGAGTGAATGATTATCACGGAATATGGTGGATGTAATTGTTTCTGCAAAGATTTCTCATATAGCAAGCATGGCACCACAGTCTAGCAGTGTTACTCCTCCACCAGTGTTTTGCGATAAATCTACAACAACTTGCAAAATGTGCTCAAAGTGTGGACCCATTACTACTACTACTACTACTACTACTAACACAAGTAAACCTACCGTGCCTACTGCCTCCAACAACACCCAGAGACTCACAGTAACACTCCCAAGCAGAGGTAAATCATCACATAGTATTTCTGTTATAAACTCTTTAAGTAAATGTTGCTGGGTTATTAAGTTGTTCTTGTGAGGTTATGTTTTAATGATAGTTGTGTTTGTTAGGTACCAAATTTATACCCAGGTTTCGTGTTGTTTTAGTTGGTTTAATTGGACGCGTCTACAAGTGTTGTGTAAGTGTTAAGTAATTAAGTTTGTTTAAGTGTAAGTTAGACTATTATTATATTACAGGATTACTTAGCAGTGAAGTCTAGGTGTCTCTCAGCATGGCCAACCACGTGTCTTAAGTATTGTTGCTATGGGCTTGTATTAAAGTCGTTTATATTCTTGTAACTCATTTATTACATAGATACTAAAGTAATTATTCCTGTGACTTAATGACCCCCCCCCCCATCTATTAGCTACTTATAGGGGGGGACGTGTTACTAAGGTGGTCCAGTTTTATAAGTAAGCTCATTTGAAGTAGTTATATTAAGTAAATGACGTAATTGTAAGTTTTAAGTAATGTATAAACTGTAGTAACTTAACCGATATATCTTGAACATTTTTAATTAACGTGTGTAAGTCAATTTTTTTAAATATCGTTATAGATTTTTAAATTGATAAGGCAAATTACTGTATCAGACAAAATTTATATCATTTAAGACGGTGACGCACAAGGGCAAGATGACAGTAGTAAGAATGTCATTATAATTTAACTTATCACATCAACTGTCATCAACGGTCGAGTCTTCAGGTTGCCGAACGAGAAATATTTAATCTTTTATTTTATATTGTCTTAACTACGCGTGATATAGTAACTTGTATGGATATTTTAACAAGCTTTGATATATTGAAGTCTGTTAGAATTTTTGAGAATCTCGTTTGATTTTGAAGGGAAGAGAAATGGTGTGTAAAAACCTGTTCCCAGCCAACGGTGGTTTAAATGCCTCTGTTGCCTTACTTGGAATGTATGTATTTGATATTTATTCATGAAGACTGTATATATGTGTGCTGTTAGTGGTATTGAAACTTATTGGTGGATTGTGTAAGGAAATGGTGTGTTTATTATGGGTTTAAAAAGACGTTGGCGGTTATGTGTGTGTGTGTGTGTCGGGGCCAGGATGCACTTGTCAGGAGCTTACCTTGAGGTGATATGGCAGTTGAGTTGGACGTTGTGTGTGTGTGTCATGTTAAGGAGTTTGTGATATGTAGACCGTTGTAATTTTGTTTGTTGAAGAAGATACGTTTATTAGTGGTATTTTTATCTAATTCTGAAAGCTGTTACGAGTTTGTCCCGTTTGTTTGTTATACTTTGAATTATTGGTTTATTCATGCCTATATTGTTTTATTGTTTATGTAATATGCATATGAGGTCTTGTTATTTGTTTTGGAAATTCTACACGTGTTTTTGTATCTGTACTTGTAAGGTGCTGACTCCACAGTGCTGAGAAAAAAACCTAGGTAGGTGGGTAGGAATGGCTGAGGTGACACTTATGTTGTGACGACGGTACCAGTGTTGTTTTTAAGAGAATTACGTAACGTGTTAAACCTGTTTGTTGTGCGGCAGTTGTCATGTGCGCCCAGCTGACCCGTGTGTGTACTGTATATGTAGGTCGTGCACATGTGTCGGCTCGGTTGTTTGTTTTGTAATTTCTTTGAGTTTTATTATGTTCATAGCTTTTACCGCATGGTGTTTGTCCGTATAAGGAAAACACAAAACTGGAGACAACAAATACAATTGGATTTGTTGTGGTTTGGGGATTTCGATTCGGTTAGGCTTGTGTTGCTAGGTCGACAACTCGCAGACGATAGTGACGTAACACCTCCCTAGTTATTCGGCTTTGATTTGTTTGTTGATCCACAATGTTCGTGTTGCAACTTTCGAAAATAATTGATTTTTTATGGATACATACTGTAATAAATTTTGAGTTATTGGTAATATAATGTAGTTTACGGTATAGCATGTTTTCTTTCCACATGTGTAAAGTTTCCCCTCTCAACCCCCACAGGGAGCGGGCGGCCCCTGGACGAGACTTACCGGGTGGGGCCAGTCCTGGGCAAAGGCGGCTTCGGCACCGTGTATTCCGGCTGGCGGGTGAGAGACGGCGCCCCTGTAGCCATCAAACAAGTCGCCAAGGCCAAAATCACAGCATGGGAAATGGTGAGTACATTACCTATTTATCTTGATATATGGGGTTGTGTGGGTAACTTACTGTGATGCTTCACTCGTCGTGTAACCTGTCATCGGGTAAACGTGTATAGGTTCACATTATCTGCAGGTGTGTTTGTTGTGACATTTACTAAAGGTGAGGTTCTTTAAATGACCGGAGTGTCGAGGGTAATTTATATAGGTCACACCTGGTTTTCAGTTATGAAAGTCATCGTCACCTGTGTTAAAGTGAAGTACGGGGCAGGTGTGTAGCTTAACCATAAAGGTGGAGGGATGGGGCAGAGCTGGGTGGGTGTCCATCAAAACATTTGCATCTGGCGTGAAACTAGGCCACCGGGGACGGTGTGGGCTTGCATACCGCGTGCATTAGGCTGGTGCTGCCCTGCGCACCTGGTGCGTGTCTCCAGGTCGCTGGTCTGGTTGGGTTTGGTGGGTATAGTCAGTCGAGTGGTAATGTAGGGGGATGTTTGAATGTTTTTTGATAGGTGGAAGAGGGAGGAAGGGAGAGAAGTGTGGCGGGGTTGGAGAGAGTGCAGAGATCGATATGGGCCGACGTGTGTCTCGTCCCAGGGTCTGGGAGGCGCGCATACACGCGTGGGTGTAGGCGGCCCTCCACCACCTCACCCGCCAAGATGGGCCTCATCCACCCTTCTTTTTTCCATACTTAATGTGGCTTTTGAGGAGCCCCTGGGGTCCTTGAATGGGTGAGTGAAGTGGTGGTCGTGGAGCGGAGGTTTAGCGCAGTTTTGAGGGGGGAGGAGTCAGGGCGGGAGTTTCGGCAGCCATCCAGACGTCGGTGAAGCCCGACAACTTGAGGGGATGTTTTTGAGACGTAGGTGAAGAGTCGGGTAGAGCAGACGACACGGCACAAGGCTGGCTACCTGGGGTGACGCGGCCCCTGCATTCATCCTGGTGGGGGGGAAAGGGGGTTACATCCTCCCCCTCACTCACCCTAGGCCTCCCTGAAACTTACCATCCCTCCCACCTGCCTCCTAAGACTCTCCATCCTCCCACCAACCCAAGGCCGACTCCTCCCCCCAACACCACCTCCCTTCCTCTGCGTCGATTGTTGGGAGTGTCAGCGGCGTTCTTTGCCAGATATGGAGGATGTGTGTGTGTGGGGGGGGCTTCCTATGAAAACTTCCCAGGGAAGTGACATGTGTGTGTGAGTGAGGCAAATGTAAACAGAAGACACCTACCTGCAAACTATATAAACTGCAGGATACGTAAATAAGTACAGGTACATCCTAATCTGCCTGAAATAAGATCATTGACCTGTAATTACACAACAATTGACAGACACGACAGCAGATGAGTCTTTCCTTTTCTAGTTCAAAGCTGTGTGTGTGTGTGTCTTGGTGACGTAGTGTGGGATGCAGTGCTGAATGGCGCCTGGTTGTCTCTCAGTAACGGCTCCCCTCCTTGTTTATGCTCTTACTTATTGACTTCTAACTAATGTTATGTAGGTGTGTGTGTGTGTGTGTGGGACATTGTATGAATATTTATGCGAGTTTCCATGAGTGTGAGTGTGTGTGTGTGTGTGTGTGTGTATTTTTATGCGTAGCCTTTGGTGTGTGTGTATTTCGTATATAAGAATATTTTTTTCTTGTTATATGTGAGTGTGTGTGTACTTTGTGTGTTTTACATGTGCTTAATTAGTGTGTTTATGTGTGTACGTACAAGTGTCCCAGCTTGGTTGAGACATGAGGAAGGCGTTAATCACAAACACACGCCTACCCTGTAAACCTGTGACCATGGCGAGTTGTTTGTTTACAGTACAGTCGGCGAGTGACGTGACAGTGTGCATTTCGGGGGTGTCTTGCGTGTCGGTATCCTGCTTGGTTGTGTGTGTGTGTGTGTGTGTGTACTCTTTACAAGCAATTATGAGTCATTGGATTACTGTATGTTTTGTTGGTGGTTGTATCATAATATTTAGACATTGTTTCTCAGGGATATGTCTTAAGTCATAATACGGGGTTTAAGTGTAGTTGTTTTGTTGTTTATTTATCTTGGTGTGTGTGTTAAAATTCATTAAGAGTATTGTTGTGTTTTAGTGTGTTTTATAACCCTATATATACTACAGCATTGTCGAGCTTCAGGTGTATAAGCAGTCACGTGTGAGCCATTGTTGTGCGTCATAGAATATAAACTGGAGTAATGCTGGGGTTGTGGGGGGTATTTCCACTGTTTAATCTAGTTCTTGTGGGTTACATCTGTTCCTGTATCTCCCCTTACCCCCTTTTACCTTCCCATGTTGGTTAATCTCTCTCTCTCTCCGCACTTGGTTAATTTACTATTATCCGTCCCTCTCCCCCCACCCCTCTTCCTTCTTTCTCTCCCTCCCACACCAGCTAGATAGTTTCCGTCTGGGTCCCGTCAACCGTCTTGTGATTAGCCAATAGACTCAATATTGAATCACAGGACACTTCCGGCGTGGGTCCTGCTGGCGCGCGTCGGGTAGAGGGAGGTTGGGGGGTATGATCCCGTTTGTGCTGTAGGTGTTTGAGCTGTTTGTTTTTGTTTGAGGTGGTGTTTTAAATGTTGCTGTTTGTCCATTGTTGTAGGTGAAGGGAGAGAGTACGTTGAGTTGTGGGGTATGTGTGGGGGGGGGTGTAAGGGTGGGGTTTGTATTAGGGGAAGATACGGGGGGGGGGTGGTTGAGTGAGGGAAAGATGTCGAGGCGTTCTGGCCAGGTTGGTGTGAGGTGGAGGGTTAGGGTGTCCACTATATAAGAGTTCATAACCTGAGATGTCCTTTGATCCATAATGTAATGTGAACCCCCCGTACTGCTGGGAGTTGTTAAGGGCGAGTCTCCCTTTATATCGTCCTGGGTTTATTGTCTCCCTTGCTTCTGGGTCCTCACCGTGTGTCTGTGTCAGGTCTTCAGTGTGCTGCTAACTGGTCTTGGTACACCCAACACAACAACGCTCATACGTCAAGTTGCTAAGAGTGGTGTCATATCCCTTACACCCCCTCGACCCAATTCTAGGTTGCTGAGGGTCTCGACCTTGATGTAAGTTGCTAAGGGTGGGTCAGCCTTGGTATGGTCGCACTCCACCCTCTCCTTCTCCCCACCCTCGACCATTCACCATCACACACACACATGGTCTGTGTGTGTGAGCGTGGCTGTCTGTGCTATTTTTAACTCGACTCCCGCCTTGGGGTACAACGCACCTCTCCCTAATTATCTGTAGTACTGTTTACATCAGCCAGGGCCTCGGCAGTACCAATGGTGGACTGTTTTGGCTGATGTTATGAGGTATGAATGGAAGTAGATGTTTTGGCGGGAAAGTTAGGGATGGAGGATGATGGTTGTAGTACTACGAGGGGGAGAGGATGGGGGGGTTGTGGTAGGGGTGATCCTGGCGGGAGGGAGGGAGGGTGAATGTTGCCGTCATGAGAGCAAATTTTTTTATTTCCCGTAATAGCATCACTCGAATCTACAAGTACCAAATACTTTTTACGTTTACTACACTTTTACGAGACCGTAATAGTAGTAACAGATAATATGCTACTGGACGATATCATAGACAATTAGTGATATGTTTGTGGATAGATAAGAATAAGTAGTGTGTGGGGACTTGGTTGATGGCGCGTCCGGTGGAGGGGCGGGGGTTAGCGTTAGGGTAACGACCGAGGTGAAGCGGCGCGTTGGTGCATCTGTTAAGAGTCCCGACTTGGGTGGTGGTTCAGTGTGAATGGACTCTTAGGCTCACAGCTTGTTGGGAGGAGGAAGTGAGGATCCGGGGGGGAGGAGGTGTGTGTGTTGGCAAATGAATCATACCTCGTGGGTCTGTTTACCTTCTTTTCAACAAACACAGGTGACATTGTAGGTATAGGCAGGCAATAATGAATATACAGGTAATATGTAAACACGTGTAAGGGACAATAGGTACAGTACCATACACTGCCTTGCCGTTTTTGATCAATTATGTAGATACTATTGTTATTGTTTTAAATGTGACTACCTTTCTTTTTCTCATGGTGGAGGGGCTCTAAAAGGCGAGACATTGTGTAGGTGTAGACAGGACAGAGAGTGGGTAGAGGAAGGGGGTAGGTGAAGTAGGGGCCAATTGTATGGTAGAGGGGCTTCAAATTAGCACAGTTAAGAGTACTTGGACGCGACTGTAGCCTTATAACTGGCGTCATGTTGATTTCCTCTCTCTGCATTCCCTCCCCCCCACCTACACTCGCTCCCTCCCCCCTCCTACACTCGCTCCCTCCCCCCCCCTACACTCGCTCCCTCCCCGCACGGTTCCTCAGCAGGGTTGGGTAGCGGCGGCACTGAGGGTTGACTTGTGGCCGGACCATAGGATTGTTTGGAATGTCCGCTGCCCCGCCCTCGTGTTCCCTGCTGCTGGGTGGGCGGTATTATGCCCACACCTGCCTGATCCACCTCCTCCTTGTTTACATGTTCATCTGTTTATGTCCTCCAACTGGTTAATCCAGTTCTTGTTTGTGCCAACATCCTGTTTACTCCCTCGACTGTTTCTCTTGTTTACACTCCGTTGCTTGTTTACATACACCTTTAGCTGCCTGTTAGTGGTATTTGTTAAACTACATATATTTGTGTTGTTAATCTTGAGGCGTTTATTGTGTGGCCAGCGTGGCTGTGGGCCTATCCATTGGACCTGTTTATGCAGTAACACGGGGAGGCGCATCTTCACCCGTAACAGTGAGGAGGGTGTATCTTGTTTACAGTGTTGTAGCGGGAGTTATTGTAACCTGTTTGTGTGTGGCGAGGCGCTACAGGAATGTGGTGAGAAGCGACGAGGAGGAATGTTGTGGGTGAGTTGATCATCTTGGGAGGGAGGCTGTTGTGCCTCCATTGGTCGAAGTCTTCACGCTTCTTGCTAACTCTCACACGTTACAGGTCTCCCTCTCACACCTACCTGCAGATGATGCCGACACAGGTGAAATGAACAGATACAAACTTTAGAAGTTCATTGAGAGACTCCAAAGTGCCCTCTATAGTCCCGGGTTTTTTTCTTAATGAACTGGAGTAAATTTTCCATTTTTTTATACACCGCTTTTATTGTATTCTTTCCCTTTCCTTCCATTCCTCCTCCTGTTACCAACCTCAGCACTCGCCTGGATGTTGCTCATCGGGGTCCCGACGTCCCATCACCTGCCATACACCTGAAGCACAGTATCAAGACGAACCCTTTTTTTTTTATCGCGGCCCCCAGCCCTACCTAAACCATCCACCTATGCCTGTGTTCCTCCCTCTCCTTTAAGAGTGGTGGTGGCGTGGGCTGCTGGGCGCTAAAACGAAGGGGGAGGCTAGGAGGGAGGTTTTACGAAGCGCGCGGAAATTTTTAAGTCGAGATTAGTGGTTTTTAAGTTTTTGCGAGGGTTTGGGGAACTCTGGTGGGACGCTGCAGCCACACTGGGCCTTATACGGGGTACAGCCTTGTGGTTACCTGGGGGAGATATGATAGCCACTCCGGCATGTTGACGTAGTTCCTCCCACCCACCTACCTATCCCCTTCAGGAATGTCCGTACGTAGGTCAAGTAATCCCTCCCCCTTTTCCTGCCCACCCCCTGAAGAATGTCTGCACGGAGGTAGTCTCCTTCAGGAATGTCCATACGTCGGCCAATATCCTCCTGGCATCCCTTTTAAGGTCGCGCTCTCAGGAATGCCCGTAGGTCTGGGTCCTCCCTCGCCGTCTGGGTGTATGGGTAACAGTGTGTCTGTGTGTGTACAGGTGTGTTGAGGTAGTGATTTCAACACCTGTCTGAGAGAGACTTTTGTGTAGTCATTCTGAATACCTAAGTGTGGGTACCCCCTCCTCCCTTCCCACGCTAGGCAAGGTTGCTGGGTACCTGAGCGTACCATCCGCGCCTTGGTACCCCGCAGTGACCTCTCGATATCACCACGCAACCCTGCCCTGCATTGCCCACGTAGCAACCTCTCACTCCACCCACACACATACCAAGGCGTGGGAGGGGTGGAGGAGGAGAGGGTGTTGGTGTGACTGACCGATGCTGGAACGTGGTAATCCTCTCCTCCTCGACGTGTGTGATGTTTTAACAGTAATCTGAGTGAGACCAGCTTTGAGTCATAGATAGGCTACCTGGTCAACTGTACACCCGACTTGTTTTAATTCGTGTTATGTACTGAATGTTAATGTTGGAATCTAGAGACAGCACACATGACGGGTGTTAGGTGGGTGATGTTTTAAAGGGGAGGCGTTACCTGAGTTATAGACACTTGTCGAGTCTTTACCCTTTTTGAGGTTTAAATGTGAGGTCTTGTGTTGACAGATGAGACACGTGCAGTTGACATTTAACATACTTTTGTGTCCCAAGAAATGGTATTATTTTTGTCACTGAATTAATATAGGTATTATTTAAAGCTAGTGTTTTTAAATTAGACCTTATCTGTTAGGTGTTACTTCATGTTTGATGTTAGTGAGGCTAGCGGGTGGTGAAGGTACAGTGCCACCTGTCGGGAGTGTTAGGGAAGCACAGTAGGAGTCGGTGATGTGTGTAGTAAGGTGGTTCAGGTGTTAACGGGAGACAAGCGGCCAGGAACGAAGCGGGGAATTCCTTCTGCCTACCACCATCCCGTCACCCCACTCCCTCCCCGTCACCCCACTCCCTCCCCGTCACCCCACTACCTCCTCGTCACCCCAAAATGACATCGATAAAGTTACGAAACCACGAAAGAGCTCGATTGGTTGATGAGACTGTGGTGGTTAAGGCCTCCTGTGATTGGTGATTTTTTTTCTTCTTTTACTGACGCGGGGAAACTTGTGTATTCTGGCCACGATCGTCATTATAGGAGGGGGCTGAAGGTATGTGGGTGGTGTGGTGTGTCTGTCTGTCTGGCCTTCCATCTGTCTCGTCTTTATGATTGTCTGATGTCTATCCACCCGCCCATCTGTGTGTGAGTGACCAAACCACAGATGACCAACGGCTCCCTCCTGATGCTGCAGTCCGTGACGGCTGCGCTTCCCCCTTCCTCTCCTCCCCCTCCTTCCCACCATATCTTCTCCCTCCCCTCATTCCATCCCTCTTTTCCTTATCCCCCCCTCCACCTCACCCCCCGTGTCCCCCCCTCCCCTCCATCGGGTATTACAGGTGTGTCATGTAGGTCAGGGATGTGGTGCTTCGATTCCCCCCCCCCCTCTCCCCTTCACCTATCAAGATCTTATCTACTTGTGGAACGCAAATAGGCCTGCTAGGGGGAGGGGTTGGGTTGATAGGCCTACCATGTTATCACTGGCGTTACAGATAGAGTTAAAGAGAGCGTTTCATGTGGGTGCTTGTGGGGGGAAGGTAGGAACAGGTGTAATTTACGAGAGATTATTATTATTGCCTCTTGTTAGAATTTATCGTAATTATCGGATCTTTTTAATCACTTGTCAAGTTTTCTGTAGTATCCCTCTTCGTCATCCTTTCTGTCCTTCCCCCTTCCATCGTGCTGTTCATACTTCGCGTCATAGTGTTGGTAACTAGAGATTATGTAGGTCGATCGGTGTATAGGATATCTCTGGTCGGTATAGTTAATCGGTGGCTAATTGATGTTAGAGAGACACATGTAAGGTAGCAGCTAGAGAGAACCATTGACAGCAAACAGTCGGGCAATGGCAGACAAACGTAGACAGAAAGGGACTTGTATTAAGAACGAGAGGAGATAATTTTGAAGTTGGTGGTGTTAGCGTGTGCAGGCGGCGTCAACCACAAGCGGGGTGGGCAGTGAAGCACAACACCCCAGCAGGCAGTCGGACACATCCACGTCACCCGCCACTCGTCTGTCTTGTTCCTCCTCCACCTGCTGTCTTGTAAGGGGGGTGGGATGGGGTGGGATGACCTGCTTTGTTGGTGGGACGCTCAGGCTAGTACAGTATCTACATTGTTGGGATGGAGGGCGGTGTGTATTGGGGAGGTGTTCGTGTGTAGTTCGTCTCTTTATTACTTACGTAAGGTAAACCTGAAGTGTTTACAGCGCCTGGTGTTACGGGATCTCTCTCTCTCTCTCGCGCGCACACACACACACACACACACACACACACACACACACACACCAGGTTTTTGTGTTCATTGTCCTTCTGCCTCCCTCGGTATTCTCTCTGGCTGCTACCCCATCAGAGAATTAGGGGGTGGGGGCATTACACACATGGGCCAACTTGTTAGGTGTTGTACCGTTGACGCCGCCTGGGTGTTGAAGTGTAGTGTATGACTGGGAAGGGGTGTGGTCGAACAGGTAGAATGTACCGTAGCGTAAGGGAGGGGAGGCGTTGTGGGGGTTAGGGAGGGAAGGGGGCGAGACCTTGTGTGGAATGTGGTGTGGGGCAGTGGCCTCCTTGAGCCCCGGGGGCAGGGCAGCAGCACGGCCCTGGTTGTTGTCTGGTGGGTACTGGGGCCTCCTCATTGTGTTGCTCAAGTATTGTGTTGCCGACTCTTAACATTTGTCAGGACACCTTATATAGTGTGTGTGTGTGTGTGTGTGTGTGTGTGTGTGTGTGTTCTGAAGCCACAGAAGGAAGGATTATTAATATAACTTATGTTTGTTGTGTTGCAGGTGGGAGGTCGACGTGCTCCACGAGAAGTGGCCCTGCTGTTAAGGGTGACACACGTGCCTAACGTGGTGAAGCTCTTGGACTGGCTGGAGCGAGATGACTCCTTCCTGCTGGTGTTCGAGCGGCCGGAGCCTTGCAAGGACCTCTTTGACTATATTACAGAGCGCAAGGTCATCCCAGAGGCCGAGGCACGATCACTCTTCAAACAGGTGAGGCACACTTGGCCTATAGAGGTCATGGGGATTCATTTTATATTAGGGTTATTGAAGGTCACTGGTGATGTGAACCGCTGGAGCTTAATTACACGTTTTATATTTTATTGCTGATAATTGAAAAGTCATGGTCTCAACTCTGTATTTATTGTCTATTAAAATATCACAATAGGCTGAGTGTATACACGAGTGATAACAGTGTATTTTTAATTCTTCAGGTGGTGGACATCGTTCGCGACTGTCATGCTGCTGGCGTCATCCACCGTGACATAAAGGACGAAAATTTGTTGGTGACGTACGACTCCAAGGGGCGGGCGGTGCTCAAACTCATAGACTTCGGCTCCGGCGCCCTCCTGTCAGATAAAAGCTACACAGACTTCGATGGGACGCGGGTGTATTCACCGCCTGAGTGGATCAGACACAATCAGTATGAGGGCGTGCCAGCCACCGTGTGGTCGTTGGGCATCCTTCTTTACGACCTCGTGTGTGGAGACATTCCATTTGAACACGACGAGCAAATCGTGGCGGCACGTGTACAGTTTCGGTCTACGGTAGGCGAGGACTGCCAGCACTTGGTGAGGTGGTGTTTGCGGGTGCGGCCCACGGAACGGCCCTCCCTCGACAGTATCCTGCAGCACCCTTGGCTAGCCAACCCTCAGCCTACACGAATCCGTCACCCTGACCAAACCTCCCTTGATAAGTGCTCCACCTCATCCCAAGAGTCGCTTTGATGGCGGCCCCCTCTAGTGGTGCTGTAACTTGCACCCGACCTCACCTGTAGCACCGCCCTCACGCCCCGTGCCAGGCTGCCGCCAGCACCGTGGCCACACATGGCTTGACCTGCGGGCAGCAGCCTCCATCTGGATTTGTGGGCAGCGCCACATATCATCCCTCATACCAAAGTTTGGGCTTGTAAAGTCCGCCTCTCACTGTGGGGATGTAAATCACGGCGGCGCCTATGTACAGTCCCCTTGCCGGCACCCTGGCGGTGCGTTGTCCCTGGCCGGGGGTACTCAAGATCTCCGGCCGTATTTATGGTGCGGCCTGGCCCGGCCCGCCCTGGGCCGCACAACTATTTATTGCCTGCAACCTCGCCCAGGGGCGTCCTGCCCCTGACCCAGCCACTGCTGCCCAGGCCACAGTAACACCAGTGAGGGTGTGGTGATCCTCGGCGGTGGAGCAGCAGTCATGGTGGGCGGCGGCGTGGCTCTGGTCACCACCACCCCATACGCCCACCACCCTCACTCTCGCAATGCCAAACAATGCAGTCTCGGCTATCTTCTGAATGAGCTTCAGGCTTGTAAACCAAAGGTTATTATGTTACGAGTCCAGACTTTCCTTGTAAAAATGTAAAGGACTTAATTTATTTTGGTGCTTGAACTATATGAGCGTGTATATAGTGTACATATATTCTCCCCTTGTACAGATTTGATCATAAGCCATTGCTCAAGTGTGTAAGTTCTGTATGATATCAAAAAGTCATAAGTCGGACAAAGTAAATGTTTGTAGTACTATTTGCTTGGACCTGTGACCCCTGCGTCCGCTCCCTCACAAACAAACAGCGTATCCCAAAGATGTCACGAAATTGATGTTCGGTTGTGCTGGGCTTCCCTCACCCCGGTAGATGCTCCTGGAGAAACTTAACCTCTTACTGTACTTGTAAAACAAGTGCAAGGAAAACAGAGGCCAAAGAGAATATTTGAAAAAAAATAAGTAGTTTTATTACGATATTCTTATTTGTTGGTTCACTTCCTTTATTTGTTTAATTTTCTCCTTGGACATGAAATCTAGGGTTGAGAGGCAGAAAGACACCGATTCTGTAAAAAAATAAATCTTCCACATTTTGGTTGCTTATTTTCAGATGCAGATTTAAAATATAAAAGATTTGTTATTTCTGTTTTACATTTATTTGTAATTCTTATTTCTTGTTAAATATAAAATCGAATTTAAGATGCGGCCATACTGCACGTTTCTTCATAGTGGCCTTGTTTAAAAATAATTTTCTTTATAATTTACTCTCGAGGTAAAGCCACAAATTCTATTATTTTTAAAAACTAAAAATTTACACTGAACTCTTAATGACGTCAAACCTACTTGGAGAAGACTGAAGGATGTCATTGTAACGCCTTCAGTAGTCGTCAGGTGGGAGTCTGCTCCCTTGATAGTTCTCAGTTAACGTGCACAAGCGCTCCTTAACCTATGTCTGTCTCCAAGTCGTCATGATTGCTGCCACACCATCATCATCACTGTTACAGTAGTTGGGACAAAAACAAATATTTTTGTCATGTATCGTAGAGAGATTCCGCTCGTGGTGAATTTGGTAGTTTTTATATGTGTTATGTTTTCATGTGCCTCCAAGTTTAGTAATTACCTATTATTTTGTACTAATTTTTTAGTCCAATTTTGGTGTCCTAAGATGTATTTGGAATTTCTAGGGTGGTCGTAGACTCCCAGACATTGAATTAGATGTTTTATTTAAGTCGTGTTTTGTATGCAAAGTCCTGTCCTCATGTCACCTGGTTTATTGTGATGGTCCTGGAACACAGCGGAACATTTCTGTCTCCTGTTTACATAAAGCTTCACATCCTCTCAAGTGGAGGAGATGGTAACATTCTTAAGTTATTCCACTCATAAACCTGTGGATTAAAAAATATACTTACATATATAAAGCTTCCATTTATATGTACAACGAATGCAGTTGCATTTTATATTATTTTTCGTACAAATCTTTGTTTAAAAAATAAACAGGAATATGGTCGATAATCACCGCTGCGTGTCCGAGACTTAACCTCTTGTGTTATGTGTGCTTCATATGCTGTGGTAAGGGGGTGGCTTCAGGCGTGTCTCTGAGGTTAACATTTCCAGCCTTTCTCATGATTTTTAACCTCCAAGACATTGAAGTCGGTTCCTTTGTCATAGTCCAGTAGAGCAGAATTTTCTAAATATGTGAAGGTAATAGGTGAAGTATTAAGGGCTTTTGCAATAAGAATTTTGTGGTTTTCGTGTCAAATGTCAACTTTGTACAGCTTTGGAGACGTGGCAAATGTCAGTCCAATTGCCAAAAAGACAACTCGTTGAGACTTGTATGTGCTGTGTTCTCAAAGAAAAGACAAAATATGTGTTGTAAATTGTGAACAAGTTCATCGGAGTTATCTGGAGGACGACCCTTTCACGCATTTTGATTTTAGTTAAATCCAATTTGTTTTGTATAAAAAGAAGTAGGTAAGTTACTCTGGCGGTGACACAAATTGTGAATAATAATTGTATCCATGTGAGTCCTGTCGCCGAGTCCGTCACACGCCATCTGCCTTCTGGAGTGCTTCTCGAGGCTAGCAGTAGTCCACGCCTCTCAGGGTCGTGAACGGCTTTAAGATACAGTACTCTGTAAATTACGTTGTAGCTAAAGTCATTTAAGTACAGGATAGACTGTAATCTTAGTTAAAATTACCATGTAACTTGAGGTCATCCTGTTGAGTGCCATTGGTCATAGAATATGTTGTAGTGGTGAGGCTTGTTATTGGCTTAACTAGATGTAATACTTGTCAGTGTGGAGGGTTAATGGTGATGGTTTTGAGGAGCGTGAGAGAAGGCAGGGTGTGAGAGGGAGAGAGAGGCATTAGGTGACATACATTTGTGTTTGACAAGAAATCATAAAAGACGTATTTTTGTAAGTAAATAAAGCGAAAGAATTGAACGTCTCTTTTCTTTAACATTTTTCATAAACAAAGTTAACAATATGAATGCTGTCATTACTCAATGTATGACGGGAGGAAAATTGAAGCTTGAGAACAATTGCAGTGTAAGAAGCATTGGAAATACTACAGCATTGCAACTATTGCAAACACTAGAACAGCTGCAACAATACAACACGAGAAACAACTGCAACAATACAACTAGAAACACTGCAGCAAAGCAACACAGAAGAGGTCCAACAATGTAACTCTAGAAACACTGCAACATTGCGGTACTAGAACAGGTGCAACACCACTAATCCAACAGCAACTGTAACCCCACAAGTGTAAAACCCCGTCCACACGATCGAGCAGTGCCTGGCGGGCTTTGCCCGGTAAACGGGCAAAGCCTGTGTGGTGTACACACGGGGTGGTTGGTAGTGGCGGGTGCCGTACAATTACCATGGTGAGTCGCAGGAATAATCGCCGGACAGTTAAAGCGAAGAGCATAGCGTTGTGTACTATAATAGTTGCTGCTGTGTGCAAAAAGAAGAACCAAATGCAGAAAAAGGAATGGTGCAGAGTGGTTAGGTCGAAGAAAAGTATTGGGAAGTCATGCCACGATTTTGTGTGAACTGCAAGATGGACATGAGCAAGACTTCACCAATTACATGAGAATGGACCCCAACACCTTTTACAAACTTCTAGCGAAAGTGGAACCATATATAAAAAAACAAAAACAGGATTCCAATATGAGGGAGAGTATATCTGCAGAGGCTCGTCGAGAGGCAACGCTCGTATATCTTTCAACTGGGTGCACCTACACGTCACTTCAGTATAGAACGAGGATATCTAAACAAAGTATGTCTCGCATAATACCTGCAACTTGTCAAGCCATGTATGAAGTACTCAAGGAAGATTACTTGCAGATGAGATTTGTAGTACATAAAAATTCATTGAATAATGTTAGAATTATGATATGCATAGACAGGAAGCCATGGGACTAGAGTGAGGAGAGCGGCAGGAACGAAGAACACACACACGAATGTCCTCATTACACAATACATAAACAATCTCCCGTTTATTGTCACGCCAATAATGTACATTGCATAAGCTTATTTGGTTATACACTGGACACCTGGACCGAGCGGGGAACATATACGTATCACATTTGCAGTACTCAGAGTCGGCGCTCCACCAGGCAGGCGGACCATGAATTCGCTCAACGACGGGCACTGGCACTCCTCTGGTTTGCCCGCCAATTTTGCCCGATAACGGGCATTTAGCGCGTGCCCGCCGGGACAACTGTAACAAGTGAAACACCACAAGTTAGGTCAGGTCTTCTACACCATTAATTACCTCAACGCCATATCACTAAATTAAATCATTTACGGCCATTTTTCCAAACAATACAAGAAACTTTATTTTATTATTAAGAAGTGACGCCTGTTATTTTAGCTTCATTTATTTATTAAATGACCCTAAAATGGCCAATTACCTCAATGCTGAATACCCACACCACCTCACGACGGTCATTCTCTAAAGCCTTTTATTTTAACATACCTTAGGACACTTTAAATGACCCAGCCCTTGGTCAGTGTATTATCCCTCTTGCCTACAGTACTTACCCCTTCCCTTCACTACCCCTCCCTTACACTCACTACCCCTCCTTTACTCTCACTACCCCTCCTTTACACTCACTACCCCTCCTTTACTCTCACTACCCCTCCCTTACACTCACTACCCCTCCTTTACTCTCACTACCCCTCCCTTACACTCACTACCCCTCCCTTACTCTCACTACCCCTCCCTTACTCTCACTACCCCTCCCTTACTCTCACTACCCCTCCCCACACCTCACCACCTCACACTCACACCCTCCCCACTCCTCACCACCCTCCCTGCCTCACCACCCTCCTTTACTCCCACCACCTCCCCACACTCACCACCTCCTCACCCCTCACACTCACCCTCCCTTACTCACCACCTCCCCACCCTCACCACCTCCCTGCCTCACCACCTCCCCACCTCACTCACCCTCCCTTACTCCTCACCACCCTCCCCACTCTCACTCACCCCTCCCTACCTCACTCACCCCTCCCTCACTCCCCTCACCACCCCTCCCTTACCCTCACCACTCCCTCCCTTTACTCTCTACACCACTCCCTCCCTTACTCTCACTCACCCCCTCCCTTACTCACTACCCCTCCCTTACTCTCACTCACCCCCACATTCCCCTCTTTCTCTCCCTCCTTCCCTTCTGCTCTCCTCCCCCCCTCACAATCCACCTCCACACCTCCATCCACCCTCCCCCCTTCCATCCACCCCCACACACCTCCATCCACCCTCCCCTTCATCCACCCCCTCCCCTTCTCATCCACCCCACATCTCCATTCAATTCTCCCCCTTCATCCACCCCCTCCCCCCTCCATCCACCCCCTCTGGATGTTGCAAAGCCCCAAGGCGCCAGATGCAGCCCACAACATTACACAACCTGGACGATGCAACAACCCAGGATATTAATGCAGGGTCACGAACTGGATGTGTTGCTTATCTGAATATTGCAGAGTGTGGGATGGAAGGGGGGGGGGAGGGACGGTGGAGTTACAGTAGTTACCATGTCACCACCCTAACTACACAACTACCACACGATGACTCAATCACCTCCTTCCCCCGGGTGTGTGAATCAGTACTAATCATTAGGGTGATAATTTACCACCATTTACACGGTTAAGTGATTCTGTAGCGATTACCTAGATACAAAGAACAGTTAATCTTGGTGCCGCTGTATGTATCTTGTGATGTCATAGGTCAAGGTCATTCTGGTGTTGAGTTGGCACTTCTCCCCCCCTCCCTCCCACCCCCCTAATTGAGTGCCTTGTACCTGTGTTGTTACCGGTGATTGAGTAATGGTGATGTTTACTTTATTGTTTGGTGATTGGTAGTTACTGAGGAGCCGTAATGGGTGATTTATATAATCAGTATGGTATTGTGAGGAAGGGATGATGATGATGGATTAGGTGATTGAAAAGGATTGGAACACGACAGAAACATTAGAGTCAAAACGGATTGTAACTCGACAATTTATGGAGGGAAAAAAATAATTAAAAAGAATTCACGTGATGTTTTTCTTTTAAGTTTAATTACAATCCATTGATATTTGTACAAGTTAAGACAGATAGAAGCGTCCAGTTGTAATATCCCCCAACTAAAGGAGGCGGCATAATAAAACAAGGTTGGGAAAGAATCTTAAAAAATACAAATGAAGAGAAATTGAGAGATCAAGTAGATAACAAACTCCATTAGCAAGACATTCGTTGAATTCAAAACTGGTCGTTAACGGAAATCATAACGGGTTTCTAACGGAAATTAACGGTCACTTACTGAATCCCTTGGTGGAGGGATTCTTTATTTTCTAACTGATATTAACGATTGTTGTCAGAAACCTTGTCAACTGTTGTTTGATTACTTCTTAAATCTTCCCCTACCTTCCCCTACCCCCTATTTGCCCTTACCTACCTACCTCTCCCCCTATTCACGCACCTGCACCTCACTCCCTTCACCCTCCCCCCCCCTCACACTCTCCCCTCACCTTCCTCCCTCCCCCTCACACTCTCCCCTCACCTTCCTCCCTCCCCCTCACACTCTCCCCTCACCTTCCTCCCTCCCCCTCACACTCTCCCCTCACCTTCCTCCCTCCCCCCCTCACACTCTCCCCCCCCCACCTTCCTCCCCCCCCTCACACCCCCCCCCCACCTTCCTCCCCCTCCCCTCACACTCTCCCCCACCTTCCTCCTCCCCCCTCACACTCTCCCCACCTTCCTCCCTCCCCCCTCACACCTCCCCCCACCTTCCTCCCCCCCCTCACACTCTCCCCACACCTTCCTCCCTCCCCCCCCCTCACACTCCCCCCACCTCCCTCCCTCCCCTCACACTCTCCCCACCTTCCTCCCTCCCTCACACTCTCCCCATCTTCCCCTCCCCCTCACACTCTCCCTCCCCCTCACACCTCCCCCACCTTCCTCCCCCTCACACTCCCTCCCCACCTTCCCTCTCTCCCCTCACACTCTCCCCCCACCTCCTCCTCCCCCCTCACACTCCCCCCTCACCTTCCTCCCCCCCTCACACTCCCCCCACCTTCCTCCCCCCCCCCCACACTCCCCCCCACCTCTCCCTCTCTCCCCCCCCACACTCTCCCCCACCTTCCTCTCTCCCCCCCCTCACACTCCCTCCCCTCACCTTCCCCCTCCTCCCCCTCACACTCTCCCTCACCTTCCTCCCTCCCTCTCACACTCTCCCTCGCTTTCCTACCATTCATTTTAAAACGCCCCTGATAAACAGTTTGTTGCTAGGTGCTGAGTCCCGCCTTGGTTACTAGGCGCTGTGTTGCTAGGTGCCGGCTTTGTTGCTAGGTACTCCTTGTGTTGCTAGGTACTCCTTGTGTTGCTAGGTGCTCCCTGTGTTGCTAGGTACTCCTTGTGTTGCTAGGTACTCCTTGTGTTGCTAGGTACTCCCTGTGTTGTTAGGCATCTTGTGTTGCTAGGCACCTGTGTTGCCAGGCACCCCTGTGTTACAGGTGCCGGCTTTGTTACAGGTACCCTTGTGTTGCTGTGCACTTTGTGTTGCTAGGCACTTTGTGTTGCTAGGCACTTTGTGTTGCTAGGCACCCTTTGGCCAGATACCCTTGGCTGCCAGGTACCTGTGTTGCTAGGTACTCCTGTGTTGCTAGGTGCCACTAATATTGCGAGGCGTCATCATGTTGCTGGATGTCCTTCAATTGCTCACCAAATCAAACACAGGTAAATGTTTTATCGATAACTCAAGTCGACGTAAGTAATAAGACGATAAAAAAAAACCTTCACACGGACAGACAGACAGACAAACCCTCTAGCCACACTCCATAGTCTACGAGGAGGGTCATAACAGCATCAGCGCCTCAGTATGGGAACAGACAGATAGTAGATCTCTCATCCTTATCGCCAGTCCCAACAGATAATAACAATCACTTTGTTATCGGTCAAGG